TAAATTAATTTTTTTATTAATAATATTATATTTGTGTGTGGCCAATAATAATACGATTGTAAAGTAAATATACAGTAATTTTCTAATATTTATAAAGAAAGTAATATTGGTAAAAGTACTAAAGTTTTTAATTATCAATTAGTTTAACTCATTCAAAGTAATGTATAATGCAAGGTAACATATATTAAGTCAAAATTCTATATGAGCCGTTGATTTTGGGGCAAGTCCATTTTATGTTATTGCTAGATATTTAATGGTTTGCATTTGAATGAGTTTAAAAATATTTGTAAACAGTAATAGACTTATTTTATATTCCTTTGTGTAAATTTAATATGCAATAATGGTTATTAATGTTAGATGAAAAAAATCATGATTTTGGTATGCGCCAATGGATTTGCCTCACTTTCAAAAGCAATGATTTGTTGAAAACATTGCTCTTCTATGAATGGAATATAGTTATAACAACAAAAAAATAGAATATTTTATTTATTTACTTATTTATTCTTATTCAACATTTCATACTTTTTTCAAAAAGTTACAATGAAACAAAAAATAAATTTAATTTTATAGGAAAAAGTGGAGAAAATAATAAAAAATATTTAGTAATAAGTTGCATGCATATAATTATTTTTCTTAGTTTAGATGGTGCAGATTTTTAAAGTATTCATGATAAATGGGTGGTACATAAGGTAATAAATCCATCATATTTTCATATTTTTCTTTAGAGTAGATTTTCCTCACTTTTAAAATCAACTCACTGTGAATATCATTGACAATATAAATTACTAGTAACAAATTTATACTGATATTAAAAGATATTTATTGTGAATTGATTAAACACATAAATTTTATATTAATTTGTAATAAGAATTAGCTTTAACTACTTCAAATGGACACTATCATCATGATAACTATCACAAAAAGGACTTGCCCCACTTTCAAAATCAACGGCTTATATGTTAATAAATACAATTTAGTATATAAATTTCTTTTACTTTAAAATTTACCAAAAAATAATCATCTTTCAGAATATTTGAATTAATTTCATTAAAACATATTTACAATTTATTATGAAACTTTTTATAACTGAAAATTTTAAGATATGATAGATCATTTAACTTGATTACAAATGCTTCTTAGCAATTTACACAAGCAATAAATTTGAAATTCATAAAGCATAAAAGTCAAGTAAACATTACAAAGTAAACATTTCAGTACATAAATGCAATTGTTTAAATGGCAAGAAAAAATAAACTTATTCTAAGATTATTTTTGAAATGAAATTCAATATTCAAATTCAAATTCAATGAAGTACTCATTAAATTATTCAGATTTTTTCATATAAACATATTTTTTTCAAATATTCTAGAAATTCTTAGTAAAATATGAAAGAAAAGTTTCCTAATGATGGAAGAGTTTGCTGCATATGTTAATCCTAAATATGTATATCATCAGAATGTTTTTAAAATAATGTAATTAACTACATCTTTTATAGAATTGTTTATTTTATATAAAATAGCAGATGTTAATAAGGAAAATATAATTTCTATGAGTTTATTTTATAAAGTTTGTTAAATCTCAAATAATTGAAATTAATATTAATAAATAACAAAAAAATCATTAAATTTATACGTAATGATTAATTACCATTTGTTGATAAAACACCTAAATTATCAGGATTTCTTGAAAGTTGTAACACTAATGCAGAACCTCGTATTTTTTCTGCCGTTTCTTCATACAGAAGATCAATGTAGTTATCCAGTTGGTTTATACTTGCTACTTCATTCACTTCAGTGCTCTCTAATCCTTCCTTATCTTTCCTTGAATGATTTTTTCCATCTTGATCAGACTTTTTGGAATCTGTAATAAATAATACAATTTAATGTGATAAAATTGTATCAAATTAAAATAAATCTTCTTTATTGTTTACTTCACAACTGGGTGTATAGGTAGACAATGGGCATCTTTAATAGCACTCTTTATTCAGGAATATCTTATGCATCAAAATGCATATCAGTGTGTAAGTAAGATATTCCTGAATAAAGAGTGATGTTAAAGGAGCCCAGTGTCTACCTATACACCCAGTTGTGAAGTAAAACATAATTAAAAAGAAGACATGGTTTCAGAATAAGTCAATAAATAAAATAAATCTATCTTTCAAAATATGAAATTAAAATTTTAACATTTAGTAAGCAAAACTGTAGACTGAAAATTTTTTAATTATTCAGAAACAATTAATAACAACTACAAAATAAATATGTAAAAATTTATTAGCTAACCATTAAAACAAATTTATCATCATTAAAACCATATACAGTTTTTTGAGTTACAATTAATCTGGATTTTTGAGATTCAAAAGTTTGAATCTCAAAAATCCAGATAAATTAAAAAGCAAGCACTTCAATTGTTTATTATAGCCTTTGTGATTTTCCTTTCTAGTCTAAATTTAATAAAGTATTTATATTCTATAATAAAGTCTGTATTAGGTACTGGTACATTCTGGCATAAGGGATTATTATTTCATTAGAATATTCATAAAATTATATTTCTATAAGAATTGCATACAAAATATTGTGTGTTATTGACAACCTTATCATATCTAATTTTTTATTATTTCTACTGTCTCAAAATCAAATCAAAAATTACAGAGTAAGTTCATAAACTAAATATCATGCCAGCCAATGGTCAGGGTGATTAAGACATCAGCCTATCACTCCGGGAGATCTGGGATTAAATCCAGATGGTCAAAAACACACCAAAGAATGTCTATCCCAAATATATTGTGGAGCCTCTTTCACTGAAGCCTCAATAGACATGGAAATAGACCATCTTAGTAACTATAGGGCAAAATAAATTTTAAAAAATATTAAAAAAAACACTCATTATAAATTCAATCAATAAGAGCCTATATTTCTAATTCTGTTGTAATTTTTTTACATGCTTAAGGAAAATTATTAAATGATCAAAAATTAACCGTAAATAAGAAATTACTATGCTATGATATATTCGTTTTTTATTTATTAAATGGTAGAATAAAACAAATACCTTTTGAAATTTCTTTTCTTTTCTGTAGATAATACAATAACTGTTCAACTTCCCTGACCTTAATAGGTGGAATAATTGGAAACTTTTCTATAATTTCTTGAGCAAGTGCAGAAATATCAGATGATTCATTTAAACTTTTAACCCTTATTCTAAAGAAAATAAAATTCCATTAATACAAAATTATAAAATCATTAAATATCTAACATTAAGGAATAGTAAATAACATATATACAATCAAATCTCAGTAGAACAATTATTGATATAACAGTAAATTCCTCCAGAATAAAAAATAAAGTTCCCTATACAATTCATATTAGCTTAACATAAAACTTCTCCCAACTGAATGTTATCCTCTACTGTGATAAATCTGTTTAGCAATATACTGAAGAAGTAACTGAAGAAGGTCAGTGAAACTGGTTGAAAACATTATTATTTTATTAAATTCATTGCTGGATTTTAAAGGTGTGAGTTTTAGAGTTTAAAATCAATTATCATGTTTTGTCCTTTTTTTAGCTTTTGAGCAATTTTTTTGATAACATCTAACAGTAAACAACAAAAGAATCCAATTTTAACTTTTTCTAGAGCAGTTTTGCACCTCTTTTTGACATTTTTTAAAGCTCAAATTTATTATTTCCAGTTTTTCAAGAAATTATAAATAACAGTAAGTCAAAACATTATAGTCAAAACCTGAAATCTGTCAGAACCTGATCTTTCTAAATAAAAATAATTGTAATAATCCTCATACTTTCAGAATTTGAGAAAATTGCAACACTAAGACATTCCCTACATAATGTTATATGGAGTTAAATACCCTATATGTCGGGTAGCCAACAAGTCGATCGCTCGCAATGTCTTGACTTAATGTGTTACAATTGTAACTGAATGCAACGTGTGAACGTAACATGCAAATGCAACAGTATGCATGCAGTTATGACTTGATTCATAGAAAAACACAGCCATTTAGCTTGAATATTTGGTACTGTCATACAGTAGCTTGTTTTCTTTGGTATTAACAATGTTATTATTATTAATCAATATTATTTATACATGGTGACAACATTGTGTTTCAATTTTCCCTCTGTTTAAAATGTAAGTACCTTTCTTTATGTTTTAAGTTAAATTGTGAATTTCTTACCTGTCTGTTTACTTGATAAGTGAGCGTTCTCAGCAACAGACCTCTAAACTGTAATCATTAATTAATGGAGTTAATTACCACAGTTCATGAGTTTTTTAACTTTCTAGGAAAATATTTAATTCAATATTTATTCTTTAAATTGTCGTATTTCTTTTGCATTTTAGTATACCCATGAACATGGGTAGTAAACCAAAGAAATCGAAAACTTATCATTTCAACAAAGAATGGGAACTCGATTACTTTTTTACAATGGTGAATGATAAATGTTGTTGCTTAATATGCCTTATCTCAATAGCCATTGCTAAAAACGATAATCTGGAGAGACATTTTTTAGCTTTACATAACAAGTATCAAACAGATTATCCACCAAATTCCGAATTGAGTAAATGTAAAGTTAGGGATCTTAAAACTCAATTAACAAATCAACAAAATGTTTTTAAAAAGCCAATGCTGAAGTCACAAGCAGTAACTACTGCATCATTCAAAGTAAGCTATTGCTTAGCAAAAAGATGTAAACTATTTTCTGACAGTGAATTTGTAAAGGAAATTTTTTTGGAAATGTCAGATTCACTTTTTAACGAATTTAAGAACAAGAGTGAAATTATCATTGCAATTGAAGATCTACAACTGTCTCAAAACACTGTGATGCGACGAATTAAGATGAGTGAAAATGTAAAAGAACAGTTATATAACAATATTAATAGATGTTCTTGTTTTTCAGACATATTTCATATGGAACAAAAGGCATCAGAAAATGAAATTATAATTTTAAAAACTGATTTAATCTTACAAGCCAGAAAATTTGAAGATTTTTGGAAATATGTCAACCGAGAAAAATATTCCAGTATTACCAAATGTAGCAAATATATTTATTCTTTTTTTGGATCTACATACCCGTGTGAATCGGCATTTTCATACTTAAAGTTAATGAAGACTAAAAAACGTTCTGTCCTGATTGATTACCATACTGAACACTCATTATTATTACCTTTGTCAGGATATACACCTAATTATGATTCATTGGTTAGAGACATGCAAACTCAGACCTCCCATTAATGTTAAGGTAATAAAATAAATTCTAAATCTGTCTTTATCTGTAGCTAATTTGAATTAATAAATATTGTTAATAATTACTCATGTTGTTTTAATTCCCCTGGATGTGAGTTTTTTGGCCCATTAAATAATTATGTTGTTTTTATGTAGGTAGATATACAGAGTGTTTCAGTATGAGGTGTACTCCCATGAGCTATTGATAGGTTAACAAAAAATAAGTCTAAAAATCTTATATCATTCTTCCATGATAAATTTTCTTGGCCCAAAAGAATCGTGAAAGTGAAATCTTAAAATCAAATTATTTGCCATACTTTTTCATATTTNAGATGCAAGGACCTGCTTCGCTGGGTTTTTATTTGTATGTAATATAGTTTTTTTTATATATATAAAAGACTGTTTTTCTGAGTAATCTAGAATCTAGCTGCAAGGACCCGCTTCGCTGGGCAAAAAGTAACGATAGTGAAGATTAAGATAATTACATTATAGTGTGAGACCCGAAAGGCCCTGGGTCTAAATTAATATTTTATTAATCATGTTAAATATTGTCACCAAATATTACTTCATTTTTGGTGAGGAAAATACTGTTTTAGGTTGGGAAAAACCCAGATAACAGATGTTACTTCCTTTCACAGAAGAGAACATCCTCTGACTTTCCCTTATCTGGTTAAAAATCCCACTCAGATGGGAAATGATTACCCCTCATTCATTCCCCTTTCATCCGTTCTCATGAAAGAGTTACTGGCCGATGATTGGTCGAAATTCAGGAGATATAAGGGAAATTAGTCCGAATTCGAGGAGTTCAGCGACGGAGTTCTTCGACCGATCCAAAGCGTCCAAACTCCACACAGTTTTCCTCCTGATGACTAACGCCCTCAGTCGAGACACTTAGAATAAGTCTGGAGTCCGAACTTAGAAATTTTACTTTGGTTTTGTGCACATATTGATCTCCCATACAAAGAAATAAATGAACTTTATCTCCAGAGTGTCCCTTACCTACAGAGAAGAGGACGAACGACAACTGAAACAGGTTGTATGTTTTATAACGATTTTGTGAGCTCTCTCTCTCGATCACGAATTGGGTAGAAGATAAGTATAGCTATCTCTCGATTTGTATGTTATTTGTGGTAATTCTATCTCTCGTTCATTAAGATTTTTGTATGATTTATTTCCTTGTTTTATTAAATTTATTATTCCGTTTTTAATTGGGATGTCTCTTGTTTGTGTGACCGAATCAGATCGTATACGCGTGTTTGTCCGCGTATCGAGAAATTGACAAACTGGTGTCAATTTCTCGATACGTAGATCCTGACGTAGATCCGAATCTCGCGATTTGGATCATTATTAAAAGCCCTCCTATGAGAACTTTTTAAGATCGGATCTCGCGATCCGAAACTAAGGAGACAGATTTTGGATAATCTGTGCCGATTAAGTGGTACAAACAATCCTCCTCGGATTAGAGTACCCCCGGCTACTCTCACAATAGCCAATCTTACCCGTTTTCACAGAATGCAAGAATTAGGTCCCCCATTTCCAGACTAATTAGAGAATTTTTACGTTTAGTCAAACAAACTATTTTCAACGTTNATTAAGAAAAATAATGTCTTTTTTCAAATTTTCCTATCATATAATTAAAATACAAAAGCTAACAGTACACTTTTTTTGCTTTTATTATATGCTTTTTAGTGTCTGTCTAAATAAAATCTTGTAACTCAATTTTTACTGACTTCTCAATTTCCAATCTAGTTGAAACTTTGCATACATACCGCATTTACTCACACATAAGACAAGGTTTTTATTCATTTATCACAGCTTCAAACTCCTAGGTCATCCTATACGCATGAGCAAAGATTCTTTGCAAGTTTGCAAATAATTTTTGTAAACCATGTATTTGCATTTTTACCAGATGCTCACCCTCTTGTATTTAAAAACATAAGTATTTTATCTAGGTCGTTTGAATCGTTCTTGTATATTGTCAGGAGTAAAGATGAATAGCAATAGGAAAAGCAAAGCTTTTGAATTGAATTACAGATTGAAATCCCAAAATCACACAGGAACATGATATAAGTTTTAATCCATTCCCATGTGAAAACAAACGATTATTCGGAAATCACAATTCAAAGAAACTCATAAGTGTAATCAATGGAGAGTGGATTCAACTGTTAAGAATTGGCAAAAAAGGATTCCAATTATCCGGCTTTACATGAACAAATTATGTCGTCGATTTTACAAGATTTTTCCTTAAAGTTTAAAATGCCAGTAATTTTTGCAGGATAATGTGTACTTTTATGTTTATTTGATATTTTACTTGTGATTAAACAAAATAAAATTAAAATTGTATTAATAAATCTAATTTTCTTTATTTCGATCTTTAAAGTCACACCTCGTCTTATATGCGAGGTCATCTTATATGCAAGTAAATATGGTATGTATTCCCAATGACAATAAAAAGAAAAAAAAATGTAGAGTTTGCAAACATTTTGTCAAAACTTAATGTAATCTCACAGAGAATAATATATGTTAAATGAAGTCTTGTGACCTCATGCCCATAGGCTTTCCATATCTGGTCTCGACTTTCATCTATCTAACACTATTCTTGAAGTTAAGGAAGGACAGGTGGATAGATGACAGTGGGAATTTGAGGCCTAATTAAATGCTAAACCTAGAAAAATTTTGATAATTCAGGGTTATATATATAAAATTAGAAAGTAGAAAATAAAAAATATTTTTAAAATTTTAAAGNTTAATGTTAGATGAAAAAAATCATGATTTTGGTATGCGCCAATGGATTTGCCTCACTTTCAAAAGCAATGATTTGTTGAAAACATTGCTCTTCTATGAATGGAATATAGTTATAACAACAAAAAAATAGAATATTTTATTTATTTACTTATTTATTCTTATTCAACATTTCATACTTTTTTCAAAAAGTTACAATGAAACAAAAAATAAATTTAATTTTATAGGAAAAAGTGGAGAAAATAATAAAAAATATTTAGTAATAAGTTGCATGCATATAATTATTTTTCTTAGTTTAGATGGTGCAGATTTTTAAAGTATTCATGATAAATGGGTGGTACATAAGGTAATAAATCCATCATATTTTCATATTTTTCTTTAGAGTAGATTTTCCTCACTTTTAAAATCAACTCACTGTGAATATCATTGACAATATAAATTACTAGTAACAAATTTATACTGATATTAAAAGATATTTATTGTGAATTGATTAAACACATAAATTTTATATTAATTTGTAATAAGAATTAGCTTTAACTACTTCAAATGGACACTATCATCATGATAACTATCACAAAAAGGACTTGCCCCACTTTCAAAATCAACGGCTTATATGTTAATAAATACAATTTAGTATATAAATTTCTTTTACTTTAAAATTTACCAAAAAATAATCATCTTTCAGAATATTTGAATTAATTTCATTAAAACATATTTACAATTTATTATGAAACTTTTTATAACTGAAAATTTTAAGATATGATAGATCATTTAACTTGATTACAAATGCTTCTTAGCAATTTACACAAGCAATAAATTTGAAATTCATAAAGCATAAAAGTCAAGTAAATATTACAAAGTAAACATTTCAGTACATAAATGCAATTGTTTAAATGGCAAGAAAAAATAAACTTATTCTAAGATTATTTTTGAAATGAAATTCAATATTCAAATTCAAATTCAATGAAGTACTCATTAAATTATTCAGATTTTTTCATATAAACATATTTTTTTCAAATATTCTAGAAATTCTTAGTAAAATATGAAAGAAAAGTTTCCTAATGATGGAAGAGTTTGCTGCATATGTTAATCCTAAATATGTATATCATCAGAATGTTTTTAAAATAATGTAATTAACTACATCTTTTATAGAATTGTTTATTTTATATAAAATAGCAGATGTTAATAAGGAAAATATAATTTCTATGAGTTTATTTTATAAAGTTTGTTAAATCTCAAATAATTGAAATTAATATTAATAAATAACAAAAAAATCATTAAATTTATACGTAATGATTAATTACCATTTGTTGATAAAACACCTAAATTATCAGGATTTCTTGAAAGTTGTAACACTAATGCAGAACCTCGTATTTTTTCTGCCGTTTCTTCATACAGAAGATCAATGTAGTTATCCAGTTGGTTTATACTTGCTACTTCATTCACTTCAGTGCTCTCTAATCCTTCCTTATCTTTCCTTGAATGATTTTTTCCATCTTGATCAGACTTTTTGGAATCTGTAATAAATAATACAATTTAATGTGATAAAATTGTATCAAATTAAAATAAATCTTCTTTATTGTTTACTTCACAACTGGGTGTATAGGTAGACAATGGGCATCTTTAATAGCACTCTTTATTCAGGAATATCTTATGCATCAAAATGCATATCAGTGTGTAAGTAAGATATTCCTGAATAAAGAGTGATGTTAAAGGAGCCCAGTGTCTACCTATACACCCAGTTGTGAAGTAAAACATAATTAAAAAGAAGACATGGTTTCAGAATAAGTCAATAAATAAAATAAATCTATCTTTCAAAATATGAAATTAAAATTTTAACATTTAGTAAGCAAAACTGTAGACTGAAAATTTTTTAATTATTCAGAAACAATTAATAACAACTACAAAATAAATATGTAAAAATTTATTAGCTAACCATTAAAACAAATTTATCATCATTAAAACCATATACAGTTTTTTGAGTTACAATTAATCTGGATTTTTGAGATTCAAAAGTTTGAATCTCAAAAATCCAGATAAATTAAAAAGCAAGCACTTCAATTGTTTATTATAGCCTTTGTGATTTTCCTTTCTAGTCTAAATTTAATAAAGTATTTATATTCTATAATAAAGTCTGTATTAGGTACTGGTACATTCTGGCATAAGGGATTATTATTTCATTAGAATATTCATAAAATTATATTTCTATAAGAATTGCATACAAAATATTGTGTGTTATTGACAACCTTATCATATCTAATTTTTTATTATTTCTACTGTCTCAAAATCAAATCAAAAATTACAGAGTAAGTTCATAAACTAAATATCATGCCAGCCAATGGTCAGGGTGATTAAGACATCAGCCTATCACTCCGGGAGATCTGGGATTAAATCCAGATGGTCAAAAACACACCAAAGAATGTCTATCCCAAATATATTGTGGAGCCTCTTTCACTGAAGCCTCAATAGACATGGAAATAGACCATCTTAGTAACTATAGGGCAAAATAAATTTTAAAAAATATTAAAAAAAACACTCATTATAAATTCAATCAATAAGAGCCTATATTTCTAATTCTGTTGTAATTTTTTTACATGCTTAAGGAAAATTATTAAATGATCAAAAATTAACCGTAAATAAGAAATTACTATGCTATGATATATTCGTTTTTTATTTATTAAATGGTAGAATAAAACAAATACCTTTTGAAATTTCTTTTCTTTTCTGTAGATAATACAATAACTGTTCAACTTCCCTGACCTTAATAGGTGGAATAATTGGAAACTTTTCTATAATTTCTTGAGCAAGTGCAGAAATATCAGATGATTCATTTAAACTTTTAACCCTTATTCTAAAGAAAATAAAATTCCATTAATACAAAATTATAAAATCATTAAATATCTAACATTAAGGAATAGTAAATAACATATATACAATCAAATCTCAGTAGAACAATTATTGATATAACAGTAAATTCCTCCAGAATAAAAAATAAAGTTCCCTATACAATTCATATTAGCTTAACATAAAACTTCTCCCAACTGAATGTTATCCTCTACTGTGATAAATCTGTTTAGCAATATACTGAAGAAGTAACTGAAGAAGGTCAGTGAAACTGGTTGAAAACATTATTATTTTATTAAATTCATTGCTGGATTTTAAAGGTGTGAGTTTTAGAGTTTAAAATCAATTATCATGTTTTGTCCTTTTTTTAGCTTTTGAGCAATTTTTTTGATAACATCTAACAGTAAACAACAAAAGAATCCAATTTTAACTTTTTCTAGAGCAGTTTTGCACCTCTTTTTGACATTTTTTAAAGCTCAAATTTATTATTTCCAGTTTTTCAAGAAATTATAAATAACAGTAAGTCAAAACATTATAGTCAAAACCTGAAATCTGTCAGAACCTGATCTTTCTAAATAAAAATAATTGTAATAATCCTCATACTTTCAGAATTTGAGAAAATTGCAACACTAAGACATTCCCTACATAATGTTATATGGAGTTAAATACCCTATATGTCGGGTAGCCAACAAGTCGATCGCTCGCAATGTCTTGACTTAATGTGTTACAATTGTAACTGAATGCAATGTGTGAACGTAACATGCAAATGCAACAGTATGCATGTAGTTATGACTTGATTCATAGAAAAACACAGCCATTTAGCTTGAATATTTGGTACTGTCATACAGTAGCTTGTTTTCTTTGGTATTAACAATGTTATTATTATTAATCAATATTATTTATACATGGTGACAACATTGTGTTTCAATTTTCCCTCTGTTTAAAATGTAAGTACCTTTCTTTATGTTTTAAGTTAAATTGTGAATTTCTTACCTGTCTGTTTACTTGATAAGTGAGCGTTCTCAGCAACAGACCTCTAAACTGTAATCATTAATTAATGGAGTTAATTACCACAGTTCATGAGTTTTTTAACTTTCTAGGAAAATATTTAATTCAATATTTATTCTTTAAATTGTCGTATTTCTTTTGCATTTTAGTATACCCATGAACATGGGTAGTAAACCAAAGAAATCGAAAACTTATCATTTCAACAAAGAATGGGAACTCGATTACTTTTTTACAATGGTGAATGATAAATGTTGTTGCTTAATATGCCTTATCTCAATAGCCATTGCTAAAAACGATAATCTGGAGAGACATTTTTTAGCTTTACATAACAAGTATCAAATAGATTATCCACCAAATTCCGAATTGAGTAAATGTAAAGTTAGGGATCTTAAAACTCAATTAACAAATCAACAAAATGTTTTTAAAAAGCCAATGCTGAAGTCACAAGCAGTAACTACTGCATCATTCAAAGTAAGCTATTGCTTAGCAAAAAGATGTAAACTATTTTCTGACAGTGAATTTGTAAAGGAAATTTTTTTGGAAATGTCAGATTCACTTTTTAACGAATTTAAGAACAAGAGTGAAATTATCATTGCAATTGAAGATCTACAACTGTCTCAAAACACTGTGATGCGACGAATTAAGATGAGTGAAAATGTAAAAGAACAGTTATATAACAATATTAATAGATGTTCTTGTTTTTCAGACATATTTCATATGGAACAAAAGGCATCAGAAAATGAAATTATAATTTTAAAAACTGATTTAATCTTACAAGCCAGAAAATTTGAAGATTTTTGGAAATATGTCAACCGAGAAAAATATTCCAGTATTACCAAATGTAGCAAATATATTTATTCTTTTTTTGGATCTACATACCCGTGTGAATCGGCATTTTCATACTTAAAGTTAATGAAGACTAAAAAACGTTCTGTCCTGATTGATTACCATACTGAACACTCATTATTATTACCTTTGTCAGGATATACACCTAATTATGATTCATTGGTTAGAGACATGCAAACTCAGACCTCCCATTAATGTTAAGGTAATAAAATAAATTCTAAATCTGTCTTTATCTGTAGCTAATTTGAATTAATAAATATTGTTAATAATTACTCATGTTGTTTTAATTCCCCTGGATGTGAGTTTTTTGGCCCATTAAATAATTATGTTGTTTTTATGTAGGTAGATATACAGAGTGTTTCAGTATGAGGTGTACTCCCATGAGCTATTGATAGGTTAACAAAAAATAAGTCTAAAAATCTTATATCATTCTTCCATGATAAATTTTCTTGGCCCAAAAGAATCGTGAAAGTGAAATCTTAAAATCAAATTATTTGCCATACTTTTTCATATTTACGAACAAATAGTACCACAACTTATACATTGCAATTGATAAAAAAAATTAAATTATATTTTAAATTACTAAAAATCTATCTTGAAAAAGTGTTGAAAAATTGAATTTTTTAGGTACCGCCTGTACAAAATGAACTTGTAGCTGCAAATATCAAAAGTTGGATCTGGAAATTTATTTTCTTTGAGCCGAAAACTTAATAAGTTATTTAAAAAATAAAAAATAGTATTGAACATATATTTTGCTCATCTACCCATAGCTCACAGGAGTGCACTTCATACTAAAACACAGTGTATAAACATAGTATGTATTTCACACCTTTCCCTCCTCACTTAGACTATGTCAACCACAACAAATTAAGATAAAAAGTAGATCTTATGTACACAAAAGATTGATCACCCCTGCTATATGTTATAGAGGGTTACACTCCTAACATAATAAAGTCCTTTTAGAAAGTCTACAGGAATATCTTAATGTTGCAAACTACACTTATTAATTAGAAAAAGCATTCTCCTTAACACATTATATTTCAGAATTACTTTAGTTTTAGCTTTATATAGTTCATTTTTGCCTAGAAAGATTTAGGTTCTGGCTGATTTTAGATTTTAACATATACTATAGCAATAAAATCACTTAAATCTTGTAGTAGAGGAGACTAATACTATATGTTTTTCCGTTCTAACATTGTCTAACTTTGTAGAAATAACCTCATTTATAGTCAAGTTTAACTAGGAAAGGGATGTTTCTAATCACAATGATAATAAATCTCTATAATTTTTTCTTGTTTTGATTCTTGTTCTGTTATAATTTTACAATCTTATTTAACAGTTTCTTGAATGAATTGTTAATTAGAACAACTGAAAATAAGCCTGTAATTACAGTCGACCCCCCTATAAGATATATATACGTTCCAATTTATTAGGAATCCGATTTCTTACAAGTCGTTCCAATCACAGCCCGACACGTGTCAAGTTTACGGACTACGGCTGATTGAAAGGTTTTCTTCCATAAAATTAATCGATTCTACACTAATCCGACTCAACATTTCCAAAATACGTATATTTTTTCGTAGTTTTATAGGAATCGTAATTATAGGGACCGTAATTATAGGGGGG